CCAACCAGTCGCTCTCAATTCACAGGGACTCTAAGCACCAGGTGAGAACCTTTCCGATCCTGCACCGCCCTTACGATCCTCGCCACACCCAGGCTCACGGCCAGTCCATCCACTGAGGGTTCTCCTCTCTTGGACTGACACTACGATTCCAAGCGTATCTTTTCCCAAACACTGGCGCCTTCTGACAACACGCACAGTGTGTGAGACAGAACGTCTGCATCCTTTGTCAACCACCATTACGATATCAAATGAGATCAGACACACTGACGACAGTGAGGATGGCGCAGGGTCGGGCCAGGCTTCGGTCTGTGGTACTTGGGTCACAATGAGGCAGAACTGATTCTGCAGCACCTCACACCCCCGCCATCGGCCTGGAGAAGCTGTTCCCACGAACTCTCTCCTGTTCCTCCCGGCACTGCCACCACATTCCGCCCGTCTGATGCTGAGCATGGAAGCCCGGAGACCAAGGCACTCCCACAGACACTCCCTTACATGGGGCCAGTCAGCGGGGGACTTAGGGGGTCTCCCCATCACTCCACAGGAGGGGCCTTGGGGCAGCTGCGTGAACTACTGTGCTGGATGAGGATGCAAGGAATCCACATTAAAGCTGAAGACAACCCTGATGAAGCAGAAGTCAAGAGACCTTCCGTGTGACGACAGAGCAGAACTGGCTCCATGGGTTTTTCTTTTTTTGCAGAAGCTGAGTGCCAGGCCTTTCTTCCTCTTCACCACTGGGTAAGTCTGAACTGCCAACCTTCACGTTAATATTCAAGCACAAACTGCGTATGCTTCTGCGGAACAGCAGCCACTGAAGGCCTGTCGGGCACAGTCCCGCCCTGCCACGCACGGGGAAGCCACTCAAGGCAGCAGGCTTGGTTTGGGGCTTTTGAGGGCAGAGAGAGCAGGAAGAAGGTCTGTCAGATGTGCCAGTGAGGACTTCCCCAAGGCCGGAGGGTCTGAGTCTGTCCTCCTATTGTCTCCCCCGGGAAAGGATGCCCCCCAGGACTCCACAGTCCTGTGCATCCCAGTTTCCTATGAGACTTCCCCCCAGATCGACTGGCAGTGGAGCAAACCGATTTCAGATCATCTCAAAGTAATCTGTTCTCCTCTAGGAGAATTTTTTTTCTCTCTTGTGACATTCAGACATGATACTATGTCTCACTAATAGTTTCTGATTAGTATTGCCTAGAACAAGATGAAACCTTTCAACTTCTAATCTCATTTATTTTCTTGGTCTTGGAAAGCCTTTTCCCCCTGCCTCCTATCTCAGTGTATCGATTGTTTTGGTCACAAGCAAGTTGTCTTTCATTCAAGGAACATTCCTGGTGTTAACATTACTGTTCTGTTTCCAGAACCTTTAGTAAGACTTTGTATGCCAGTGATACAACTTTATTTACTGGAAGAGGAATTAAAAAGTAACAACTATATCATCAGGTAGGTAGGAAGACTAAGGCAGGATCTGTTTTCACTGGAAGGAAAGTTGGCAAGAAAATACTTTCATTATCTTTCATATTACAATTTTTCTATTAACTAAAGCATATGCTACTGTATAATTACTTATAGGTTAATCAGCCAATCATCATACACAGAAGAGGCAGTTGTTGTTGTTATGTGCCATCGAGTTGCCTGCAACTCATAGCAACCCTATGTACAAGAGCCCTAAGCCCTGCTCTATCCTGTGCCAACCTCACCATCTCTGACACACTCACTCCCACCACCCCAATCACAGAATCGATCCATCTCATCGAGGGTCTTCCTCTCCTGCGCTGTCCCTCCACTCTCCCAAACATGATGTCCCTCTCCAAGGACCAGTCCCTCCTTGCAACACGCCCAAATATGTCAGACGAAGCTTCCGAATCCTGGACTCCAAGGAGCATTCTGGCTTCACCCTCTCCAGGACAAGCCTGTTTGTTCTCCTAGCAGTCCATGGTATATTCAACACTCTCCTCCAGTCCCACAGCTCAAAGGCATCAATTCTCTTTCTGTCATCCCTTGTCATTGTCCAACTCTCCGATGCAATTGTGAAGACTATAGCCCAGATCAGGTGCAAATCTCCTACCAACAAGCTCTTTAAAGTGCTAAAGACCAAGGATGCCACTTTAAGACTAAGGTGTGTCTGATGCAAACCACAGTATTTTCAATAGCTTCAAACGCTTGTGAAAGTTGGACAATGAATAAGGATGACAGAGGAGTAACTGACACCTCTGAACTGTGGTGGTGGAGTAGTGGATATGCCATGGACTGCCAAGAGCACAAAGACGGCCGTGTCAGAAGAAGGGCAGTGAGTGGGTTCTTTAGCAGAAAGGATGGAGGTTTCACCCCACGTACTTTGGGCAAGTTGGCAGGAGGGGTCAGTCATGGAAAAGGACATCATGCTTGGAAAGGTGGGAAGTCAGAGGAGGAGGGACCACTGTCCAGGAGAGAGACTGACACAACGCTAACTGCCCCCTCTCCCCCTCTCCCTTCCTCGAGGGTCAGCTCTGCCCACGCTCCATTACCACCACCACCAGCACCCTACAGCCTGGCAGAATCTCGCACCCAGACCTTCTCACCAGGTCTCTGCAGAGCAGACACACTGCAAGAATGCAGAGAGGAATGAGTGTCCGCCTCCTGCACGTCTGAGCCACAAACATCACTGGCACTGTGTTCTTTCTGCCCAGGACGTGGTATCTATGGCTCTACGAAGATGACGCGCACGTGGTGGACGCAGCAACCCGGGGGATACAGCAGAGTCTCATCATTTGAAGATTCTCTCTGTGACTTCTCATATTCATAAACATTCATTTGCAGCCCCTTCTCTGAGGCCTGTGATGTTTTTGTGGTCAGCTTCAGACATGTGCACGCCAGAGAAAATGTGGGTCACCCGCCCATACGCTCCAGCTGAGGCCCCCACACAGGTGTTCTTTTCACAGTCTGTGAGCTTCACGGATACTGAGTCTTCTACAAATTGAATGTTCGTGACAACTCTTCCTCAAGCAGGCATATCACTGACAGTTTTTCAACACGGGCTCAATTCAGGCCTCCGTGTCACAGTGTGGTCATCCGACAAATAGTTGGGAGCTTTTTCCACCAAGCTATTGCACATGTGAGTTGTACTGTCAACCCAAAGGCAAGTGGTTCAAATCCACCATGGCTCCAAGGGAGAAGGATGGGCTATCTCTTCCTGTGGGATTTACAGCCTCTGAAAACCTGCTGGATGGGGCAGCTACGAGATTATTCTGACTCAGCAGCATATAGCAGCAGCAACAACAACAACAACTGCACACTTCGGGAACTCTGTGGTGCAGACTGTAGGGAGTAGTGCCGCGGACCCAAAGGCCATGTCTCCCTGGCAGCTGGAATCCACTCACGGCTTCTTGGGAGACAGAAGAACAAACTCTTACCGCAGGGTTTACGGGCTCAGAATCCTGTTGGCTATGAGTCAGCTGTGACTGACCAACAATGAGGCTGAGTTTTTTCTGTTTCACTGCAGACTTAACAGACCTCCAAGCCCCACGCATCACGGTGATTTGACCCCCTCCAGTGCCTTTCACAGGGTACCAATCTTCACAGGCGGAGAATGCCCATCTTTCTCTTGCAGGTAGAGATTATCTCATCAGACCCACTGCTGCCAAGTCTACCTGCCACACAGCGACTCTCCACTGGGTTTCTGGGGCTTAAGCCCTTGTGAGTGGGGCCTGTCCATCTTGTTCTCTGCCCATCTGGAAAGATGGTGGATTTGAACCACTGACTTTCTGTTTAACAGTGCAACAGGTAACACCCCACACGGCTAGTGCTCTTCTGGGGTGCTTTTATCGTTGCTGCTAGGTGCCATCAGGTCAACTTGACCTACAGTGACCTTATGAATGATGTTCTGAACCTCACCCTGTCCTGCGCCAGGACACCATCTCTGTCCAGGCCAGAGCCTGTTGTTAGATTCACTGTGACAATCCATCCTGGTGAGGGTCTTCCTCTCTTTCCCTGACCCTCCACCTTTCTGAATATATAGAGGGTATCTGTGCAGCTTAAAATGCCCCCAAGTACAGTTACTAAGGGCTGTCTTAGCTACCTAATCCTGAGAAGGCTAGACTGCGATGTGCTCTATGGAGACAATGACATATCCCAGATAAGCCTCATCTGTCACGAGTTCAATTCATCAGCACGGCACATGAGATGAGGTTTCCATTAGCAGAAGCACATGTAGGAAAAGGCTCTGTGTGACTGCTCGGTGGAGATGTTGTGACCAGAGGCTTCCAGGCACCTGGACAGGCATGTCGCCTGCAGCAACGGCTCCGTCTACGACTTAACTGTGGTCTATTCTGTGAGGAGCCCTGCTGACAACCAGAGTGTGCGTCTCTTTGGTGCTTTGAATCCACTAGCCATCCCAAAGCAGAAAGATGGACATTCCCCTCAGAAACCCAACGGAGGGTCAGCTATGAACCAGGTCCAACTCCATGGTAATGAGCTTGAATTTTCTGAGTTTAGACATGACAGTTGGTGAGAACCAACTGTAACTTCATTTTGAGAAACATTTAAGGTGAGAATTACACTGGGCAGGACTGGAAACCAGACTCTGGCTAATTTGCAACTGGGTCACCAGGTCACGGGACAAACGGTGTACCTTCTCTTCATCTAAGTCTCCCCCTCTCTAAGGAGCCCTAGCAAATGGCTCAACATTCCTTAGGAGGAGGGTAAAGGTACCGACCATACACCAGCTATCTGCTGTTAGCTGCCACTATCTTCATTTTCCACGCACAGGGACCCCGATGACAGAGCAACACTGTCCAGGAGGGTTTCCTAGGCCATCAGTTTTACAGCCAGTTACCAGGTCTTTTCTTCTGTGGAGTCATTCAGTGGAATCGAACCGCCTTCCTTTCCCTCAGCAGTCAAGCATTTAACCATTTGCACCACCAGGGATTCCAGATCGGCAACAAGAAACTTTAAGTATACACCAAAGAGGACTTAGCAGCTCTGCTCACAGACATGGAGGAACCAGGGGGCAAGAGGGCCATGTTACCAACCTTGATTCCAAGCTCTATGTTTTCTCCTCCATACACGTCCATCCCGGGATCGAGAAGGCCAATTTCACCAAAGAACTTCCTGTTGACCACGAAGGAGCAGCCGATCATGGCGGGCGTCCTGCAGGGAAGAGAGAAGTTAAGTCATTCCGGCAGAGCACTGGTCCGAGGCAGGAGTGTGGTTTCTACCTCGGCAAATCACATCATTTCCCTGAAGACCATCCATCCCCATGACCCATCTCTCCACAGAGGCACCTTCTGGTTTCAGGAGAAGCAGAGGATCCTAAACTAGCAGGAGAAAACCAGCTCCTTCACAGACTAGAAAAGGACTCGTGTTCCATGGCAGATGGATGTGGCTGTGAACCCGAGACTCAGGCCCTTCATTCTACCGGGCTCATCGCTCTTCTGGTGACAGCTGTGTGACAGGAGGAGGGCCCAAGAGTGGTCTGACAGGAGCCAGGGAGAGAGGAACAAGATGCGTGTACTACTACCTCAGGGATGAAGAGAGCTTTAGTGTACTGTTAGGAGAAACTAGAGAAAGGAAGCTCAAACGGAATGGCTGGACCCGTAAAAGATAAAGTGCTCCTATAATTCATCATTAGGGACCTCTCCAAAGTGCTGAAGAGCAGTGGTGTCTCTCTGGAGACTAAGGTGCATCTGATACAGGCCCTGGTCTTCGCAATCACTTGTTATGCATCAGAGAGTTGGACAATGACCAAGGAGGATAGTAGGAGAATTGATGCTTTTGAGCTGTGGTGCTGGAGAAGAGTATTGAGAATACCATGGACTGCTAGGAAAACAAACAGATTTGTCCTGGAGAGGGTTAAACCGGGTGGCTCCTTGGAGGCAATGATTCTGAGGCTCCATCTAACATACTTTGGACATGTTGTGAGGAGAGACAGGTCCTTGGAGAAGGACATCATACTTGGGAGGGTGGAGGGACGGCGCAGGAGAGGAAGGCCCTCTATGAGGTGGATTGATTCAGTGACTGGGATAATTGGGATGGGAGTGTTGGAGACGGTGCGATTGGCACAGGACAGAGCGGAGTTTAGGGCTGCTGTACATAGGCTCGCTATGAGTTGCAGGCGACTTGACGGCACATAACAACAACAACAACATAATTCATCAAGGAAAAGAAAAGCAACTCAATCAAAAAAGGACAAATGGAACTGTCACTTTCCCAAAGACGATCTACGAACAGTCATAAACATGCGAGAAGATGCTTCAGGTCATTAATCATAACAAAATGATATCCTCGTTATGTTAACTCTTAGTGACCCTCTGGGATAGAGTAGGGAGGGTCTGTGGTGTTTCCAAATCTCTACGGAAGCAGACGGCCTCATCTTTCTTCCTTGAAGCAGCTGGTGAGTTTGAACAGCTGACCTTCAGGATAGCAGCCAAGTGCTTACCTATCACACTACTAATGTTAGTCATTAGAGAAATGCAAACCAAAACCACACTGAGGGTGTCACCTTCCCATCATTAGAAAGGCTGTGATTAAAGGAAAAGAGCAGATGTTGACGTGGATGTGAAGACACGGTAACCCTCATCCACGCAGGAGGAAAACACAACAGAAGATAGCAGTTGGGGCAAGCCAAATCCTGGGTCTGTACCCCCAAAGAAATGAATATAGGTGAAGCAAACAGGAAACTGGACACCGATGTGAACTGCAGCGTTTTTCACAGTAGCCAAAAGGCAGAAACATCCTAAATGCCCATTAGCAGATAAACAGATAAAAACTGGAGTACATTCGTATGTACAATGAACATTACTGAACTCATCTAATATCTAAAGATTATACTATTTATACTTTTCATGTATGTATTTATATAAAGATTACACTTCCTATATACAAAAAATTACACCAATTTTACTCTTTATCTAAAGATTAAAAAGGAGCTGTGGGGGTGTCTAGGGTGCTACGGAGCTGTGCTGCTAATCCAAAGGGGATGCTTCTCCGGGAGTTCGAATCCTCCAGTGAGAGAGAAAGATGGGCACTCTCCTCTGTGTGAGTTACAGCCTCTGAAAACTCACTGGCGGGTCAGCTACGATTGGTTCCAAGACAACGACAATGAGTTGGAGTTTTATAGAGCTAAATGAAGGGAGAGGGTCAATGAAGTCCTGATATAGGCTACAACATGTTAATATGCTTCATTGTTAAAGTAAAGGTTAGATGTTCACATCTACCTAGAAACACCCCAGAAGGCAGGCCTGGTGATTTACAACTTCCCCAAAAAATGAGACACAGAAAACCCTATGGGGTGCAATTCTACTGTAGCCCACACGGGGCTGTTACTGGGCACTGGCAGCTTGGACGTGAGCAGCACATTAAGACGTGAGCCACTCTGTCCAAGGGGATGAAGCTCGCTGGCTCTACATGCACCTGTACAGGGTGGCACCTGTGGACTGATGGAGAGAAGAGAGGGCTGTCCTGCCGTGCACAGTGGACGGCGGATCAGGGACATTTCCGTCGCACCGCCGGGGCGTCCCAGCCAGAGCTTCTCTCTAAGGCTGCAGGGAGCACCTGCACCGGCCATGTCTGTGCAGTGGACACCTGTCCCCTGCGGGTGAGGAGGTGCCACCCTATACCCCCCACCCTGGGACTGTAATGGCCTCACTGCCAGCCTTTCTCTCCTAGTGGGATGCCTCTCCAGCAAAGGTACTGTGTGAGTTCATGCCCCAGCCTCTCCTAAAAGGACCCCAGATAACAGAAAACCCATCCCAAACTCATCAGCGTTTTTGTTGGTTTTTTTTCTCTGAAAGTTGGTGTAGAGACACTGTCCTGGACCTGGAGGGCTCAGCCTCCATTTGCCCTGGGTGGGGTTAAGGGCTTACACTGGGCTCCTGACCTAAAGGTCTGCAGTTCCAGCGAGCTGAGCAGTGGAAAAAAGGCCTGTGAGGTTTTGTCATTCTTTTCTTTTTCTTTTCCTAGTGGTGTAGTTAGTAGCATGTTGTACTGTTAACCACAAGGTGGAGCCTCTCCGTGGTTCAAAAGCCAGCAATTCTCCAAGGGACAGAGTTGAGTAGTCTTCTCCCGTGGACATTCACAGCTTCAAGAAACACCGGGAGTCAGCATGGACTTGATGGCAGGAGTGAATGTGATAGGCAGGTAGACAGACACAAAGACAGACTGATTTTCTGGATGGCACAAACCATCTGAGCTCAGCTAGTAAAAATGCTATGATTTGAAGCCATCACCACGAGGCCTGGGCATTTACCTCTGTAAAGATTACAGCCGTGAACCCACTGTAGGGCAGTTCTCTGCAGCACCTGGGGCTACTGTGAACTGGAACAGGTGTGATGGCAAGAATGTGAGTGCGTGTGTCTCACTGTGTCTGTATCTATAGTTATATCTGGATCTGTATCTCTATCAGTTGTTTCTGTGTCTCTAGAGAACCCTAAGATACCAACCAAATTACTTTTTCTGGGGGAATAAAAAAAACCAAACCCAAACCGACTCTATCACACTGGCAGAAGCAGCAAGCTGCAAGGGGGAGGTGGGGCAGCCAGGCCAGGGCCCCAGGAGATGAGGAAACAGGGAGCTCCAGGCCCTGAGGACCAGCCCTGGGTGAGATGGGCCAGGAAGGGCGGGGCCAGGGCAGAGGCAGCCCTGGTGTTCATGCAGCTTTCCAGAGAGCAACTGCTGAGCACATCAAGAAATTCTGTTAAATTAGAGCAATCTCGCCCAAAGGCTCTGCTTACAGCCTGGAAATCTGCAACATTAACACGCATGTGTAATTAAGATCCTGCTCCACTTTGCATGCCTCCAAGGGCACCCTGGGAGCAGCCAGTTGGCAAACCCTATCTCAGCACTGGCTTCTGGTGCAGGAGTCTTGATTGTGTTTCTCAGAGGGTCCAGGCCCACTTGTGGGTCTTCAGGAAATGCAGAACCCTGGGTCCCCCCAGAACTGGTTCAGGAATGTGTATAAGTGGCAGCAGAACCTAAGGTGAGCTCATGGACAGAGCCTTCAACTCCAGGACAGGAAGGAAGAAGCCCTTCCTCAGCCCTCTGTCTGCCCAGGACCACTCACTGCAGGTGCCCCAGAGAAACCCTTCTGAGATGAGTGGGTGAAGCAGACTGAGGTGGGAGGAGGGGGCAGGACACTCCTCCTCGAAGGGCCCCACACAAGTTAACAAGTTAGCTGGAGGAAGGAGAAGCCAACACAGCAGAGGGGAGGATTCTGCTGGTGTAGGAAAGAGGGGAGATGAGGGATGGATGGTGGGGGGAGAAGGGGGATAGGGAGAAAGGGAAGACCAGAGACAAGGGAGGAGAGAGGATGAGGGGGAAGAAGGAGGGAGGGGGAGGGAAGGAAAAGGAGATACAGGGAGGGAGAGGAGGGAGATGAGAAACCAGAAGAGAGGGGGTGAGAATTACAGAGGAAGCTGAGAAGGGAGGAGTGGAGAGGGAGGGAAGGAGGGGTGAGAGGAAGGGGGGGAAGGGGGCAGGGTTGGGAGGCAGGATGGGGGAGGAGAAGGTGGGTGGGGTATGTATGTAGGGAGGGGACCAGGACCTGAAAGGAGGAGGAGGGAGGGGTGGGAGAGTGGGTGGATGGAGGAGGGGTGAGAAAAGGGAGAGAGAGGCAGAGCCCACAGAATGGGGAAGGGAAACAGGGAGGGGAAGGGGGAGAGAGGCGATGGGGAGGAGGAATAGGAAGAGGGGAGGGTGGGGAGAGGATGAAAACCGGGCAGTTGGGGATCGAGGGAGAAGGAACAAGCAGGCAGAAGCAGAGGAGGGATGGCAGCAGGGCCTGGAGGAAGAGGTGCGGAGGCCCCCCTTTCAGGCTGCCTCCAGGTTCATGAGCTTGGTCCCACCAGCCTGCCCTCTTACTCTGACTTGATTTAACTGGGTGGCAGTTAGTAGCTGTGGGCGGTCAACAAACCATGGTCTCCTCTTCCAGAGAGCAGCTCCAAGTGGGCATGTCTGACCTGGGTCACATCAGAGACCTTGACTTCTCCATCTCCGAACAGACCGTAAATTCCCTAAGGGCCCCCTCTCTTAAGGCTACCCTCAGGAGCCAGCAGAACCTGGAGGCGGGGCAGGAGGAAGGTCTTGGCACAGCAAGGACACATGGAAAGTGCCAGGACAGCTGCTCTGGTGTCATGTGAAAAGGACCCCCCTCC